CCCGCGTCTCGCGGGTGCGTGTGTACTGAGGGCCTCCCGTGAACGGGCATGTCCTGCCACTGCGGGTGCTGGCTTCCTTCCCGTGGCTAAGGCAGTCTGTCTGCAGGTTTCCCCACCCTGCAACTTGCCCCCCTGTTTCTCGCCTTTGTTTTAGAGGAGAGTTTTCACGTCAACCTCCTTACCCATTCTCTGTCTCTGTCTCTCTGAGGTATATGTTGGCACCCGAAGTCTAGCATCACAGAACGGAGTCTAGCCATCTCACTTCCACTGCAACGGGAGTGAGGAATTCGGCTCCTACTAGCAATATTATTTCAACCGTTCCTTTTATTTTATTTTATTCTATTTTTTAGATTTGTTTGCTATAAGACATGTGCACTCACAGGAGAGAGGCAGAGAGAGAGAAAGTGAGAAATGCCCCCCCCCCCCCAGGAAGGATGATCACGTCGTAATCCCTTCTCTTCTGGGATTTTGGGCACATGTGCACGTGCGCCTGGCGTGCTTTTCAAACCACTTGACCCGAGACTCGAACCACAGAGTTGGCCATGTAGGATCCGCCACAGTAACCATCTTGCCACCTGCTGGCTCAGTTCCTTTTATTTTTAAGGAAGCTGTAAGAATTGCTTCTAGCAACGAGTACGTGGGAGCAGAAAAAGAGCGATTTACCTGAATCCCACCTAAGCTAGGATGACCAAACGTGCTGACACTTCCAGGTCTTTCCGCTGAAAATTGACTAATGTCCACCTTCGGTATTTCATGGAGTTTTGGAGACCATCACTAGAGCTCTTTAATACCAGTGTTTTGTATTGCCCTCTGCTTTGAGAGTTATCTCTGTTGTAGCAATTGGAGAAGAGGGACATTTTGAAATTTTGAAATGGGACATGGGAAAAGTCATTTTTAGGTAAGCGTATATATGAAGGTTAAGAATATGAAAATTGGCCTACCCATTTGTCTATATGTCCCTTGAAAAATTGTGTTCCCTAAGAACAAATAAATGTCAATTTAAATGCAACTGAGTTCATTTTACTGTGATTTGAGGACTAGACTCACGAGCTAAAAAGCTATTCTAACCTAATTTCTATATCAAAAGTCTGACTTTAGTCTTGTTTAAAACCAAACCAAACCAAAGGAAAAAATAGCACCTTTGTTGACAAGCCATGCATAAATTTGTAGGCCTTGCGTTTTTATATCATTACTCAGGTAACTCACTGAGGGTAAAGGTTAGTAAAACTTGGCATTAGTTTCTATTGGAAATGACGAACTTCCAAACCCCCAAGCCTCGTCCCTGCACTCGCTCTGCAGCCGTTACTGGTGGTGTCCGCACCAGCAGTCGTCCTGTCAGGACCTCCCTGCACTGGGTCCGGGGTCCTGGGCCAGTTGGCTTTATAGTGAAATACATGCAGTGCTGCTCAAAGCTGCCTGTGGAATTCATTTCTAGTTTTTTACTGCAGTATTTCTGTGGCTTACTAAAGCTCAAAGAGATATGTAACGTTTTTGAAAGTTTTCCACGTCTAAAAGCGTGAGGGCCGGGGTCTGCAGCCACAGACTCAGGTTCTTTCTGCCCCCGCTCGACTGTGGTCTGAGAAGACTTGGTGCCACGTTCATTCCGAAGCTTTTTTACAGTTCAGAAAGACTATTCACATGAATTCTCTAAAGTGATATATTTTGTTTTGTTGAAGCAACTGTCCTTTTAAAATAAAAAATCAAAGAGCTTCCAGTGATGTCAATTTCAGTAAGATGGCGATGGGTTTCAGGGCCCTCAGAGCCTGACTCAGTGAAAACATTGGTGCTGTAAACCAGTAGGGGAAGGGCACGACCTGAGATCCACTCCTACTGGCACTTCCTTGCCGGTCTCTTCTCTGTTTACTTGCATTTGTGTGCAGAGGCATAGTCTCTCTATGTCGTCCACGTTGGGATCGAACTTGCCACCGTCTTGCCCCAGCCCGTCCAGTAGCTGGGACTATGGGCACGCGCCTGTTTGAGCAGGTTGGCCTGACTGTGTGGAGCACTCTCCCAAGCACCCTGTGAAGATTAGAAAAAGCCCTGGCCGTGTCCACGGCCCGCAGCAGTGATCACCCCCGTGGGCCCCTGCCTTTCTCTGAATGTTTCTGGAGAGATCTGGATGTATTTGTTAAGATGGTCGGTTTTAATTGCTGACTATTAAGTCAGATTAAATATGTTGTTCCTGGGGAATTTAAACTATTTCTCCTCTTGAATAAATTATTGTGTTCTTAATAGGAGCATGTTTCCTGTAAGAAAATTGCTTGAAATATTGAGCAAAGTGTAGTGACAGCAATTTTATTGCTATTGGGCTTAGTGGTCTTGGACTGACAGGCCTGCGAGCCTGAACTTGTAGGCCACACGCGCCTTCAGGATTTCGCTGTTCCTCTTCAGTCCGTCCTAGTGTATTGTATTCAGTGCCTCCTTTTACGTTAAAGGGCATGCCTCGGACTGGCAGTGCCTTCACCTCACGCATTGACTTGGAAGATAGTTGCTAGTACTGTCAGTAGAAAGATAACCGTTTGAAAAACTGAAAGTCTTGGGACCAGCAGTTGGTGTAATGGCTATGTTGCTGGACTCCCACGTAGTCGACCGTGGTTTGAGTCCCAGACCTGGTGGCTTAAACTCATACTGGGTGCGTGTACGTGTGTGCCCAAGATCCCAAGAGGAGAATGGAGGAGAAGGGATTGTGGTGTGGCCAACCCCCTGGGGGGTGATTTCTTGCTTTCTGTCTCTCTGTCTTTTTGGTGACCACATGCACCCTATAGCAAAAACCTCTAAAAAAAAAAAAACAAAACATGAAATTCTTTAAAAACTAAGAGTCAGTTATCGTAACCCAGATGTATTAGGATTTTAGAAAGACAATTGAATGTGATGCAGGAAGCTAGCGGGATAGTGATAGCCATTACATTTTTGCCCAGAAGGACTCCTGTAAAACAGATTAGCTCTGTAGATTTTGGGTAGAAAGATTTTAACATTAAAGGGATATGGAAATAAATCACTATTAAAATGAAACCTGTTGGCTAGAGACACATTTAGTAAATGGCTCAACCTCCCCTTTTCCTGAATTAGTAATTGAGTATCGAGTCTATTTTCTATTCCAGATGGTGGATATACATATATATGTATATATAAGATATATATGTATATATATGACTATAATAAGACTATATTTATATATAAGATATATCTGTATATATGACTATAATAAGACTATATATGTATATATAAGATATATATGTATATATATATGACTATAATAAGACTATATATATATATATAAGATATATCTGTATATATGACTATAATAAGACTATATATGTATATATAAGATATATCTGTGTATATATGACTATAATAAGACTATATATGTATATATAAGATATATATGTATATATGACTATAATAAGACTATATATGTATATATAAGATATATATGTATATATATGACTATAATAAGAACAGCTCTTATTTCATACAACTATACAGCTGTAGTTGGAATTGCTGAACATTTTTTAATGATGAAATAAGAAAATAGCTGCCCTCTTGACCAACTTCGTCTTACCCATGTTATCATGTAAGCTGTGGGTGTAGACTTACCTATAGACAGTGAGCTATACTAGATTTTTTCCTATACTAGATGTTAGGAAAAAATACTGAATGTTAAGAAAGCTATTCAATCGTATATCATAACGTGTTTAACTCGTAATTTGGCATGGAGGATCAGGCCTTTTCCTGTCATTTCTCTCCTAATCAATCTCACCTACCTACTAGTGACTCTCTCCACAGCTCTATTGCTTGTTCTAATTTTACCCCATGCATTAGTGCGCAGTAACTGTCATGCACTGCGTAACAAAGTTTCGGGCAACCATGGGTCATGTGTACAACAGTGGTCACGTGAGGAACAAAGGCGCATGCTGGCCGTCCCCTATGGCTTTGGCGTGTAGTGGGATGTCTCCGATGGCCTCAGCGTGTAGTGGGCTGTCCCCTGCGGCCTTGGTGTGTAGCCAACCGTCTCCTGCGGCCTCAGCCTGTAGAGGGCTGTCCCCTGCGGCCTCAGCCTCTAGCAGGTGATCCCCTGAGGCCTTGACATGTAGCAGGCCGACACATCTAGGCTTGTTCAGGGCTTCCTCTGATGGTCACACAATGGTGAATGCACCTCACAGTGCGTTTTTCAGAATGCACCCCAGTCGTTAATTGATACGACTGTATCTGTAAAACTACATTTATAACAGGTACACAAGATCTCAGTTTGACAGGACGGCCAAGTGAACCTGTTCATTTTCTATTAATTTCTATTAATTTATTAGGTGGTTTTCTGTTTTTCTACACAAAAGTGTCATGACTTTCCTGAAGACCCAATAATTACCAATTTATATGCCACTCTACTGGTATAATCTCTAACTAATGTATACAAATGTGTTATACATTTGAATTCATTGTTATACACCACCTTAGTCTTCTTAAGAACAGAAAAAATTTGCAGTTAATTCAAGACTAAACAAGGGTGGGAGAAATGATGAAATCTTCCCAAGGAAGCTGAGTTTGAAGTGCAGATGAAGTGTAATTATTAAAGCTTTTGTTTTAACAGATTTAGAAGTATTTCAGATCTTATATTCTTTTAAAATTATTAAAATTTATTTTTTGCTAATAAATGTTTTATTTCAACAATTTTATCACTAAAAACTTGGAAATATGGAACATTGCAAAGAAGACAAATACCAATCATCTCGCTACCCGGAGATCAGGTCTGGTATAAAGATATTTGCTACAGAATTAGTAACAGTTTAAAGTGGAGATGACACTTTTAAAACACTATCTATTCCATGTGTTCAAAGTCACGTGTGAGTCTGTCTTCAGTTCACATGGGTGCATGGTACTCACAGATCGCCCTTGACTCCGGTGACCACTCTAATTCTTTATATGACACTGAACTTTGCTAACGAACCCACTTTAAGGATTCTTTGACCTTTTCACAACGACTGTTGGGATTGGCTTCGCAGATGTACCACAGGATCCGTCACTCAGAGTGCATCTACCGCGTGACCATGGAGAAGCTGTCCTACCACAGCATCTGCACCGCCGAGGAGTGGCAAGGGCTCATGCACTCCACCCTCCCTGCCCGGCTCTGCAAAGAAATCGAATTGTGAGTGTTGCGTTGTCGCAGTGTCTGTAGACATGGATCTTTAATTTGACTGAACGTGAAGTGGACAGGCTATGCGATTAGGAACATGGTCATTGTACACCTCGTGTGCATGTAGGTTCATGGTTCGTTCTCTTCTCCTTCAGCAGTGATTCTAAACCTCATGACAGAACTTGGAAATAAAAGCTGGATCTCATTACTGTAGAGAACAAAATCTGATGGGCCAGCAGTGGCATGGTGGCTGAGGCACTGCACTCCTGTGTGGTTGACCAGGGTTCAAGTCCTGGACCAGAGACTGATGCCGGGCGTGTGTCTGTGCATACCCAAAATCCCAGGAGAAGAATGGAGAAGGAGTTACAGTGTGGCCATCCCCGCTGGGCCTGATTTCTCCATTTCCAGCTCTCCGTCTCTCTGGAGAGCACATATGCCCTGTAGCAAACCTCTCTCTTTAAAAAAAAGAAAAAATATATATTTGAGCTGGATTTTGAAATGAGTTAACCTACATGTTAGCATTTACATTGACTGTGTTGTATACTTCACTCCATATAACACTTAATATTCAAAATGGCACTTAATTTCAAATATCTAAATTAAAGAATTCAGTAGCGACTTTCCTTTCGTTTTCCAGTCCCCTGCTGGGATATTTGTGTTCCGAGCGGCAGGGCCTGTGATGATTTGCATGCCCTTCATATATGTGAGCCAAGAGTATTAAAAACAGAGGGAATCTTCAGAAGCGACTCAGAGCTGAGACCTGCCTCACAGTTGAGAAAACAGTATATATTGGGTTGTTGGAAAAGACATGACACGTTTTTACTATGCAAAAATGCGCCATGACTCTTCCGACGGCCCAGTATATTGACAGACTGTTTATTTCAGTTGAATGTTAGTTGAATGTTAGCAAATGAAAAATACATAACAACTTTAGATGTATATATTTGTGAAATTTTATCTCAGTTTTATATCGGAAATAAAATAATTTCAACTCCAAAAAATACTTCTGGTTAAGTTTTTCCATCTTGTCTATGAGTTGTATAATATATGTGTACTCATTACAATAACTCAGGACCAGCAGATGGAGTAATGGTTACGTCGCTGGACTCCCACGTAGTAGACCCAGTTTGAGTCCCGAGCCCGGATGGCTTAAGACTCAGGCCGGGCATGTGTGCATGTGTGCCCCAAATCCCGAGAGAAGATGGAGAAGGGATTGCAGTGTGGCCATATTACCCGGGGGCAGGGGGATGTGATTTCTTGCTTTTTGTCTCTCCGTCTCTCCGGTGAGCACATGCACCCTGTAGCAAAAATCTTTCTCTCAAAAAAGAATGATTTACTCTTTTATTGTTCTGATAACTGCAGCATCTTTTTAAATTTTCTTTCACATTGCTTAACAGAAAATTAATCAACAACTTAAATATTTGTCTAAGTTCCTAAGGGCTATGTGAAATTTCTTGCTGGAAACCTTTTAAAATGAAGACCATGTGACTGAGGCGGCAGAGAAGGGGATGCCTGCTTCCCAGCAACTTCAGTTTACTGACAGATAAAAGTTAGATGATTGCTTTATCCTAATTACATCTGGTAACGAACTGCGCTTTTTACATTTCAGATTCCACTTTGACATTGGTCCTTTTGAAAACATGTGGCCTGGGATTTTTGTCCACATGGTCCATCGGTCCTGCGGAACGTCCTGGTACGAATGACTCGAAAACCTCCTCCCGCCTATTGGCCACACCACATTCTTCATTTATAATGATCTTAAATAGGTGGGCCGGTCCCCGGCAAATAGGCACATACATTGTTTTCTAAATAAAAGAGCTGAGGCTGTTGTCCAAATCCAGAGTCTTTTCAGATTCTCCATGGAGCTGCTCTTCTCTGGCAACTGAGTTGCAGCCTGCTTGAAAAGCAGGTGTCTGAGAGGACAGCACAGGATGGGTGGACTGCTCTGGGCTGTGTACCGAGCAGAGGGCGTGCTGCTAACTAGCGTGGTCAGGCCCGGTGCTAACACTCTGGGCTGCATACCGAGCAGAGGGAGTGCCGCTAACTAGTGTGCTCAGAGCCCGGTGCTAACACTCTGGGCTGTGTACCGAGCAGAGGGCGTGCCGCTAATTAGTGTGGTCAGGTCCGGGTGCTAACACTCTGGGCTGTGTACCTAGCAGAGGGCGTGCTGCTAACTAGTGTGGTCAGGCCCAGTGCTAACATTTAGTGTCGACTTTCCATCTAAGTTCTGTGTCTTCTAGAATGGGTGTACAGGAAGCAAATCTTCCAGTCCCACAGATAGCACGTGCTCAGTGATTGACCACCAGGCCCTCCTACCAGATCTTTCCTCATCTGGGTTGGCTTGGCCTCAAATCCTTCCACAGCTTTACGTATGACCTTTTACAGCCCCACACACAAACTTAGAACTGGGGAATCATTGTATTTCACTCTTTTTCTAATTCATGTAGGCATTAAAAAGCCTCATAGCGCCTCCTGGCTTCTCTCGGGCTGCATTGCATGCCTCTTGGACTCTTCTCCCACGTAGATGACATTTTATAAAGTGCTGCTTTAAAAAGATGCACACAAGGTACTGACTTCACTTGCTTTTTAGACACTAGTTGAAAGTTTGGCTGGGACTCTTAAAATGTCATACCTTGTGTTTCACAAGACATTTGAAAATTTTCAAAGGAGAAAAACGCATGTTTTTAAGAGATTTATAAACTCTCAGTCTCCTTGGTGTTTTGAAGAGCCCTCTTTGACACCCACAGTCTTTTCCTATAACCAGCCTTAAATCTATTTTGAGAATTGGCAGGGCCTTACGCAAGTATAAATATGTGATAATATAAAAATACATGAGAATAAAATATAATAACATGTAAAATACAAATATGTGCTGTATTCTTACATGTGTTGGTCAGTATTTGAATACGGTCATTTGCCCCTTAATGATATGTGTGCACCATACTTGTGCGTCACTCTGAGGAGACTCCCTCTCCTGGAAGGCCCTGCACTGTACATATCCTGTGTGTGCATCTGCACACCCCCTCGGAAGGCAGAGCATTAGCGTAAACGCCCTCCAGCAGGGTGCGCTGTGGAGGGGAGGCGTGCGGATGAGTGCGGTATCTCGGGGACTGTCGCTGTGTCATGACAGAGATGATGAAGAGCCCCGCAGAGGGCTGGCGAAGTAGAGGGCAGATGGCGTGTGAATCCCCAGGCCCCCAGACTCAACGAGTGCGGTGCCTTCACAGAGTCGTGTGGAGGCTGGGGACACACGTGTGCCCGGACTAGAGCGCTCTGGCAGGACTGGTGCTCTTCTTATCCCGCTCATAACGGCTTCTTTGCCCCCAGCTTCGACCTTGAGAAGCTGTGCCGCTTCATCATGTCTGTGAAGAAGAACTACCGGCGGGTCCCGTACCACAACTGGAAGCACGCAGTCACCGTGGCCCACTGCATGTACTCCATCCTGCAGACCAGCCGCGAGCTCTTCACCGACCTGGAGGTGGGTGTTCACTCACCCCGCTCAGGGCCCTGCGTGCGCTCGGGACTCCATGTCCGGAGCATGTCGATGACACAGGCTCGAGACATGATTCCAGGACAAATTTGGGTTCAGCAAATTCAGGAAGCATGCTTTCTAGATTCCCGCACCAAAGCTTTTAGCCCGTTCCTTTTTATAAGAAATGTAGTTACAGAAATTTCCACTTCATCAAAATATCTCCGGGGGCGGCATTAATTCTTTCAGTCTTTCTTCCAGCTAAAGCCTAAATGATCCAAAAGAATTTAAACTGTGAATTTGTCTCATTGCCCATGTGCCTTGGACAGTGGAGATAACACTGTTGATTTGAGAACCCAGAGCATTTATTGTCATTGAGACACAAATGCTTTTGATCTCTAGCATAAAGAAATGGGGGTTTGGAGATGGTTAGCTCAGGCCCCTGACTGACTGACTCAGAGTTGGCGACATACCCAAAGCTTTAGAGATCTCAGAACTAGACATAGAGACCGCCTCATCCATTCCCCCACCATTGCCAAATCTCCGACTTGGAAGCCCAGCCAAGCTTGGTGAGGGGATTCCTTCACCCCAAATTGTCCTGGTTCTGTGCCTGGGCAATCCTGACCCAAAGGGTGGCCCTCCGACCACCCTCGTCCCAGTGGTACCTGCACCCCTCTTCTGTAAAGCCGGTGCCATTGTTCAGGGAAGGGAGCTGTTCTGAGTTATTTCCAGGTGTGTGACTGTGGCATATTTTGAAGAAAACCTTTGAAAGTTACATCCGTGAAAAGGAGGTAAAACTCTTGGACAACAAAGATGATAGCGTTTACCCAGTTTTCGGGATTTTAAAACCTTGAAATTTCTTGCCAGATAGATCATGTTGACACAGCAATATGAAACATGGGTACAACCCTAAAGCAGAGTGACCCTAACACATAACTAGGCCAGTTACCTTGAGAATACCTGGCACATATCCTCAGATACATCCTGCACCAGCTTAGGGCTAGGGACTGGTAAGACAGCAGCCGATAGGTTGCAGGAGAACCAGCTGTGCTGAATCAAGATGGGGGAGCAGGGCACACAGCTGAAAATACCCATGGAGGGCCAGCAGTGACGTGGTGGCTAAGGTGCTGGACTCCCACATGGCCGGCCACTGTTGGAGTCCCAGACCTGGCAGCTTAAAAATCCCACTGAGCACGGGTGTGTGTGCGCTCAAAGTCCTGAGAGGAGAATGGAAGAGAAGGGATTGTGGTGTGGCCATCGCTCTGGAGGGCGATTTCTCATTTCCCTCTGTGTTCCTGTTTTGCTCTCCGGCAAGCACACCCACCCTGTGGTAAAGACATGAAAACACAATACTTACCTGGCAGGGGAGATACCATGATCATGAAGGTGGTTTTCCCAGGGCGAGGCTTATCCATTGCACTCCGGATGTGCTGACCCCTGCGATTTCCCCAAATGTGGGAAACTCGACTGCATAATTTGTGGTAGTGGGGGACTGCGTTCGCACTTTCCCCTGACAAAAAAAAAAATAGACATGAAAACAAGCCAACCAACAAACAATACAGAATCCGCGTGAGCCTCGTGGGCTTGGCAGCCGCTTTCTCACCTGCCAGCAGGGACTGCCCACAGCGTCTCTACCGAGCACACCTGAGAACTAATTCGCAGCTCCCCCTTCAGGGCCAGCCCTTCCCCCTTCGCTCCTTCCTCGCTCTGCTGTCTGAGAATGCCCCGGCCGCAGGCCCCTCTCCTCCTGGACTGTCCCGTCTCTTCCGCTCCTCCCATCTGCCCTGAGCATGCTGGCATGTCTTCCGTCCTAAAGTACCCTGCATCTGCCGCGTGGGCCCCTGATTGTCACCTCCTTTGCAACAAACTGCACGTGAAGGTGGGGGTACTGGCCCGCTCCAGATCCTCTCCTCTGTCCTTTCTGAAGCCAGCCCTCATTAGCTTCTGGCCCCAGCTCCGCAGGAAATGCTCCGGCCAGATCCACCTGCAGGCGTGGCCTGCCCAGGACCCGCTCTTCAGCCAGTAGCCAGTGTCTCCACTCGAGTTCTAGGTGCCCAGCGTGCTTGGTTTTCCTGTGACTCCACTCGCTGCCCCTCTCTGGTTTCTGGGATTTTTCTTTCTGATTTTTTTCTTTTCCTCAGATCTCTTAGTGACTGTAGTCGGCTGAGAATGCTAAAGGGCATGAGGTCTCAGTCTCATTCCTCATCACCCGTGTCGCCTTCCTGTGTACGAGTTTCGACCTATCCTGGCTGGAGCAGGGCTTCTGGCAGCTTAGACTTAAAGTGCTCTGACCTTGACCCTGCAATGTCTCAAATTCCATCTTTGGAGAGCTCCGCCAGACTGTGGCCTGAAAGGCCACATGGGCACTGCAAGCTTCCTTTCTCCAGCTAAGGCCTGTCCCCAGAACATGTGACTCAAACAGCCAACTGTCCTCAAAGTGTGAGCTTTGCAGATCTCAACTGGGCAGTCGGTGAGACAGCTCAGCTCCATTCCACCCTGCGCTCTGGACAGCTCCCCTCGGCCCACTCTGCCTGCACCTTCCCACAGCACTGGGAGCTGCCACAGCTAAGGACAGCGACCCTAAGGGTCCCTTGGCCCCTTCTCACTCCTTCCTGTTCACACCATGGCGTCAGAATAGCTCGTTAGCTGTGCTCACAAAATGCATGCAGACTTTACCCACACCTTGTCAGTGGCCACTGCTATCTGGATCTCACCTTCTAATCAATTTTGCCTTAATTACTGCAAAAGTCTCCTCGTTCTGTCTCTCTCTCTCTCTTGCTACCAGGCATTTGCACGCACTGGAGACAGAAACAGAGAGAGAGAGGGAAAGTGAGAAATCCTTCAGATGGGGTTGGCCATGCCGTAATTCCTTCTCTGATCTCCTCTTAGGATTTTGGACATGCACGCACACACACCCAGCATGACTTTAAAGCTGCCAGGTTCAGGACTCGAACCGCAGAGTAAGCTATGTGGATTCTAGCCGCCTTAACCACTGTGCCACCTGCTGGCCCCCATCAGTCTCTCTTACTTGTCTGGAGCCTGTTCTTGATACAGTTCCTAGACCCAGGATGATCCTCCGGCAGTGTCAGTGAGATGGTCATGCCGCTCCCCGAGATGGTCATGCCGCTCCCCGAGAGGCCCTGCCACAACCCCTCTGCCCCTGCAGAGCGTTCTGACTGTGGCCTTCCTGCCCTCAGCTCCCACTGCCTGCTGCCCTCAGGTTCCCAGGTGTGGCCACGGCGTGGGCATGCTCTTGGCCCTTGCTGTCGGTGGGCCGTGCTCCGGGTGGGCCATGCTCCCGGACACGATTGCTTTCCTCCCCTCCCTCCCTTGCTCACATCTGCCCTGATGGCGTTGGGTGGAGCTTGACCTGCCTCCCTCTGGTCCTCTGTAACCTACTCTGCTCCCTTTTCTGCATAATCCGCCCTTTTTAATAAGCTGTTATATGACTTGTTATATTCATTATCTGCAGTTGTAATAGTGTTTTTAGAATTTAAAATTGAATAGGTTTTTGACTTATGCAGATTTTCTTATCTTTAATTCTTTGGATCATTTGCTTTATACCTTTTATACCTGCTGCTCCTTTTCTCAGAGTCAAGCAGGAAAACCCAAAAAGAATTTGCCTGTTGGGCTTGCCGTGAGCACGTGGTTCGGCGCTGTGCATGGGGAGCCGGCGCTCACGTGGTGGCTGCCATTGGGGTTTGGGCCCCAGTGGCCTGAGGAGCACGCCGGGTCCATCGGATGTGCAGGAGCGCAGGGAGTCCTGATAGGACCAGGAGTGGAGGAAGGAGGGTGTGGTGTGACCACTCCCGGAGGTGCCTCCCGTCTCTCAGGACAGCGCACACCACCCCTGGCGGTAAAAGAGAGAGAGAGCTTGACTCTCGGTTCGTGCACAGTGAGACCAAGGCAGGGCTGTGAGGGCTGTGAGCAGTGAGGTTACCCGGAATCCCCAGATTCCCGAGCTGCTGTGCCAGCGGCAGGAGGGAGGGGCTGCGGCCGTGGGCCCTGAGGGTCTTCGTTCCGAGCATCCCGCCTTCTGTCCTCCCGAAGCGTAAAGGGCTGCTCATCGCCTGTCTGTGCCACGACCTGGACCACCGGGGCTTCAGCAACAGCTACCTGCAGAAGTTCGACCACCCGCTGGCTGCGCTCTACTCCACGTCCACCATGGAGCAGCACCACTTCTCCCAGACCGTGTCCATCCTGCAGGTGAGCCTGGCGTCTGCGCCGCGCCGGTCTCCCGCGCCGGGGCTGGGCCGGGCCGGCCCTGGGGACAGGGCGTCGGCAGCGAGGGAGGGGGGCCATGGCTTACTCTGAACACAGCAGCATGTTTCATTGTAGAAACGAAGATTTTTAGTGACACGTAATTGTGTTTCCTTGGATAAAGAATCATCTAACCAAGATTTGGAATGGATGTATTTTGCAATCACATTGTTTTTAAGTATTAAATACATCAATGAATACATGATACTTTAAAGCGAAATTCATGTCACGTAGTTTAATGGATTTATACAGATTGTTATATTCTTGAGAATGTATTGAACGTATTGAACAGTAAATCTTCAAAGGTAAATTCAAGTTTTAAGTGCATTGGAATTTTTTTATTTTTTCTTGTTGTGAGTGTGTATTTGATTGCTTTTACGCTGTTCTTCTTGATTAGTGTAGACAAGAGCTGACCTCCCATCCACATAAGCTGTTCCAGCTCTCCTCTCCCAAACCGGTTCCCTCACAGTCACCTTCAAAGGTGGCTGTCCTGTCATGACGATGACTCGAATCCCGTCCAGGCAGCCATTCACGGGTGACCTGCGTTTGGGTCAGCGCAGAGGGAGAGTGGGGCTCCCTCCCGCCCTCCCAGGATGGCTTTGAGTGTGGAGGGGGAGAGGTCTGCAGTGACGACAGGGTGCCTGGCCGTACGCACCTCGTGAAGCTGGAAGGCTGTTGCCATGTGTGGCTTCTTGTCCTCAGCAGGCCAGGTCTCCCTGGACACCCCGGGCTTCTTCTCCTCAGCCTCCCAGAGGCCGCTCCCAGTGCTTCTTCCCTTGGCCTGTCAGCGACTGGTGATCCCGTGGGCTCAGGTCTGTGCAGACTCGACAGGGCCTGCTCAGCCCGGCCTGACCCCACGTCCTCAGGCCAGAGCAGGTAACGAGTCCATGTGCAGCTGCAATTCTGGTAGCCAGCTGGGGGGCAGTGACCCGCATCGCATGGACGGAGCTGTTCAGTCCTGGACAAGCCCATCCCACAGGTGGCTGAATGTCACATCTGCTCAAGTACCGGTTCTGTGCCTGGACACGGTTCAGAATCGCCGCTCTCTGGTGGTCGGCCATTGGCACCATCTTTTTTAGCTTGATTGCTGTGCCTTGGGATGGGAGGTATGTGTGTGTGCACACATAGAAACTCCAGTAGGGTAAGAGACGTCTGTGGGGTGGGCACGCACATACGTGTGAAGCATGCCTTTTAAAATGCATGGACATCGCATAACTTTATGACAGCGCGTTTCTACTTTGACACCTCACTCATCATTTGAGACTATTTACTTGTATGACAGAAGGAGACATGGCCAGGAATGGTGTCTGGATGCTTCCGTTTAGAAATGATTCTAACTTACTGAATCAGCATGTCACATCCTCAGTGAGTTCATAGAGCTGACCATGACAGATGTCCAGCAGTTTAACCTGCAGAACGATTCTAATATCCTTTATAAAGTTTACTTACAAAACATCTTTTAAGCATAATAGAAATGATTTTGAAGTAGAACAAAATTGCTACCTACAGTGTCTCTGGAATCTGAAAGGAAGCAAGCTACACAATATAGCCGTTACAGCAAAGCAGGTGAGGCGTGGAGTGGGCCCTGGTCCCCTGAACTCTGGCATGATTCGTCCCAGTTCCTGCCATCAAAAGTGGAGGCTGAGGATGGTCTGCCTATTTTGGCAAACCGTCAGCCTAGCGGCCATTCAGGTTATACCATGCATGTTTCTAAAATGCTCGGAACACAGAACAGGACGCAGGCAGTGAGCTAGGCTCACTCAGCCAGCTGTGCACATCGGAAAGCTGTCGTGGAACAGCTGGAGTCCAGGCATTCAGGATGGAATCTCAGTCTCTGGGAGATGATAACGAGAACACACTGGTTTCCTGTTCAGAGACGGCAAAGTACTGAATTCAGGACAAGAACGGGAAGCCGAGAGGGCTGGACGCTGCTGGACATTCGGAGGAGAGGAAGCAGAGGTCGTAAACTGCTTTCATGATGAGATGGACCAAGACCTCCCGCAGGAGCTCTGCCAGGAGCAAAGCACATTGGAGCCCTGAGTACAAAGCCCAGTCTCCGAGGGCCGGGTACTCTGGAAGGAGCCCTGAGTACAAAGCCCAGTCTCCGAGGACCGGGTACTCTGGAAGGAGCCCTGAGTACTTAGTCTTGTCTCCGAGGGCCGGGTACTCTGGAAGGAGCCCTGAGTACAAAGCCCAGTCTCCGAGGACCGGGTACTCTGGAAGCAGCCCTGAGTACTTAGTCTTGTCTCCAAGGGCTGGGTACTCTGGAAGGAGCCCTGAGTACTTAGTCTTATCTCCGAGGGCCAGGTACTCTGGAAGCAGCCCTGAGTACTTAGTCTTGTCTCCGAGGGCCGGGTACTCTGGAAGGAGCCCTGAGTACTTAGTCCAGTCTCCGAGGGCCGGGTACTCTGAAAGGAGCCCTGAGTACTTAGTCTAGTCTCCGAGGGCCGAGTACTCAGGAAGGAGCCCTGAGTACATAGTCTAGTCTCCAGAGCTCTGAGTACAAAGCCCAGTCTCTGAGTGCTGGGTATTCTGGAAGGTGCCCTGAGTACATAGCCCAGTCTCTGAGGGCCGGGTACTCTGGAAGGAGCCCCTCCTTTTCTGAGGTCTCCACCCTCAGCTGATCTTGCATCTATGCTTGTGATACTAGGCTGAGTTGTTCTGCTCTGTTTCTCCCTCAGAGTCATCTGACTGTCTTTTGACATTCTACTTAGTAACTTATGAGTGTCTTCTGTTTGCCTGCACCTGCCTTCAGCAATGGGGGTTAGTGGTAAACAGAAAACAACCCTGACACCACGCTCAGAGTCTCCAGGGAGAAGGGCCTTGTCCCTGAGTTCTGTCCTCCAGGTTCTTTCTCACCAACCCACCTGGTCCACCTGGGGCTGATTGACCCGAGTACACTGTGGCTCAGATTCAGCCTGGCACTCAATAAAACTATTTCCAACCGTGCAACTCGGCAT